TGAATTTCATAGAAAACACTAGTAATGGAAATTACATGGCTTTTAGTGTTTCTACATGTGTTATAAATGGATATAGCAGTTAAATAGCTGTCGTATATATATGCATAAATAAAAATGGAGAAACAATCTTGTTTTTTCATTAAGGTTTGCAATGAGCTATTTGTATTTAGGATTAAAAGATTTGCTGAGTGCTTGTCAGAGCTTGGTTGGCTGTTTGTGCTGAGATGCTATCGGCTCAGTTTTAAGGGTTGTGAAATGCGTGTGAAGACACAACCATCTTAAAAACACACACCCTGGGGAGAAATGGGAGCAGTGGAGCCAAATGTTTCTCTACGCCTCCTAAAACCACCACCAGAAGGATAACTGGAAAGATTTATATACTGCAGTGTTGTGTTTTACCTAAAGAATGTCAAATACGTTCTGTGAAGACGTCAGAGGATTGTTGGCGTATAAAAAGGTGATATATTATGTCTCAGAGAGGAAAGGAAAATTGCTGGTTTTCTTTCTGAGCTGAATGTGAGATCCTGCAAAAATCAAACCTCAGACATTCTGTCAGCTTCTGAGTTGTTGTTATTGTCAAGTAGACAAAGCAGGCAATAAAGGAGTTTTCTAATTGGGTTAAAATGATAATAAATTACCCAATTAGTTTATATCATATATTAAACTTGCTGCTATCAATATATTTTGTCACTAATTTCAGAAAGGAAAACTTATTAATTATAAACATAAATTAAACATGAAGTCCAACATTTTTTAACCCCATTTTCCCTGTAATGTTAAGGTTTTTGGCCTACAGATAAAACCCAAATTCCCTGTTTTAAAAAAAAAAAGTTGTAATAACATGTTTAAATTATGAATGTCAATAATGTCATGTACACCATCACTGGGAAAGATGTGAACTTGACATGTATGGAAGATGTTCTTCGACACAAGGAGGATGAGTAAATTAAAAAGGTGTTTGCTAAAGAAGCTGTTTGATCAGAGTGATTTATTCATAGAAAGATGCACCATGAGGGAGATAATGGTCAAGTAAAATGGGGAAGCTTCCTGTGCATCACATCTATGGCCACCAATGGGCTAGTGTTGCAGACCTCCTGTCAAATGATTCCTGCTTAATGGCCTGTTCTTAAATAACACCTTTTTCCAAGTCGGAGGTCTTGACCAAAGCGCTTTCCACTACTTTCAGTCATTCACCCATTTATGCACACACTGATGTAGCCACATTGGCTGCCCTGAGGCTCACTGACAGGAACAAGGCTGCCGTACACTGGCGCCACCAGGCCCTCTGACCGCCATCAGTAGGAAACTGTCTCCCCTACATGAAAAGAGACCTACCCAGTAGTGTCTTACCTTGACCAACGAGAACGCATGTTGGACTCTTGCTTTAGGGTCCAATGTCCTTTTTTTAAATGAAGTTAGTTTTTAATTTGGAAATCAAGATCCCAGAGTTTGGAGGACAGTGGGATGGTACAGAATTCATTGAAGTTCACTGTGTTTTCTGAGATTCAGGGTCAATGAGGCTATTTTTAGAGCATTTTATGCATCCAGAAAACTACCCTGACCTGAACCTCCTAAATAATGTATTGGGTATTGTAAAGGGATGACCCAAAAATGCAGATGACCCGTTGCACCTCAGCATAACCACAGGCTGCCAAACAACCCCCCCCCCCCCCCCCCCCCCCCCCCCCAAAAAAAAAAAAAAAAAGCCAGCCTGCATTGATGTGTAGCTCATGAAACAGGAAGCTCAACCAGGTAGCAAAATTATAAACATACTTAACATACTTACTAGGCCTTACATTTCTTTTCAAAATATTGTGGTTTTTTGTATTTGCTTATGTAGTATTGAGATTTTAATTACAGGAGTTTAAGTTTTCATTGTCTGAACACCATAAGTCCAAACACAATAAAAAAAAAGGCTTGGCATTTTTTTATTTGTTTATTGAATCTACTTGCGTTTCACGTTTTAAATGAGTCACCTAAACTCTTGATTTAGTTTTTATGCCGACAGCACTTTTTAATTTCTGTTGTAAATCACATTTTGAGTCGATCTCACTGTAGAGTGAGTCATATCTTCAGCCCTGATTAACTGTGGTCTGTTAATGGACGTTCTTTAAACACATCAGACAACACAGCAGAGCAGGGAAAATGCAATATTCACACTTGACATAAAATAGCTCTCTGTTCAAGGGCTAACATCATTGTTGTTCCACGTAATCACAGTTACCTTAGTTTGCAGCTCATCTGGAGATTTCTGAAAAAAATCAGCCGGCTTTGCTGTTGGTCTTATAAACAGCTTTGTCTGAATGAACCACGTTAAACGACTTGGAGGACTTTGTGTAGATGACACTAGAGCTACGCAGATGAAGGATAATTTAGAAACAGTTTATGCAAATATTAAATCAGTGGGTAAATATAAATCCTAGTTCTTATAGATTAGAAGAATTTCTCTATACTTTGAATTAATAATTAGTGACTTAATCACTTAAAGGAACAGTAAGTGAAATGTATCCATTCCACACCCGGCGATACTGGAGAAAAACAGAGATAATCTGCGGAGTCACACCATATGCAGTTTAAAAGGATACCTTTAGTTATCCACATCACTATGTTTTAGTTTTTTCTATCCCAAAAAAATAACTACTGCTTATTGGTCCTTTAAGATATAAAGGAAACAGATTAGTTTTTCAACTCAATTAACAAACGCATAGAATTGTTAGAAAAATGGCTAACCTGTTTATACCTACCAGTATGTTAGGGCTGAAATATTTAACCGAATAAATCATGATTAATTGATTTTTGACATAATCGTCAACTAACTTATTAACCGAGTAATCATTAACTGGAATATAGAGAATCCAAATGATTCTTTAGCTGACAGAGCAACCCACTTAATGCAATAATTATACCAAAAATTATAAAAAGATATATAACATTTTACATCTAAGATAAAAAAAGGCTCTATCCAGATCTCAAGTGGAAAAGGTTTAATTTCGTAAAAACTCTTCTTTGAGAATTATTTGACTATCTGATTATTAATCAATTAATCAAGAAAAATTATCAACAGATTAATTGATTTGCAAAATAATGGTTAGTTGCCGTATGTATGGTCCATACAGTGAAAGGAATAAATAAAAGGTTCAAAACTAGAGCTGTAGCTAACAAAGCTTGCTTTAAAGTTAAACTTTTACAGTTTGCTAAATTGTAGCAGAGATTTAACTGGAACCTTGAAATGTGGTTAGATGGAGACCAACATTATAACAAAAATTCAAGGAAATAAAACAGTTTTTAGTTTAAGGTTATTATATAATGTCATTATTATAATTATGGTGATATAATATCCCTAGATTTACATGAATGAAACCAAATTAAATTAAGATCTGAGTTCTCAGGTCTACATTAGGCTCAGCCATAATAAAAGTTCTGTGTTAAAGTTTACCAATGTTAACAGAAATGCATTCATTGGCTTCAGTTTCAAAAGTGCACAATATTATTTGTGTTTCTGAAATCTTTAAAGATCAGTTATTGGGATTAGATATCAAAATAGGGGAAAATCCTTCTATTACATTAATGTAAAACATTTTTGGAAGGTGCACATGCAAAGTTGAGAGGATCTATTTTCTCTTACTAACACTTTAACATTTGGTAAAAATAGTGTTCATGAATCTTTGTGATAAAATGAAACAACTGCACATATTTATTTACTTTTTATTATTTGTTACTTTTCTGTCTCTTTTATCCACCTTACTTTAATCTTTTAAAATATTTTATGTTTCTTGTGTTTCTTTTATTTTTTATCTGTGATTTGTGAAATGTGAACATGTGTGTGAAGGGTGTACGACTACTGCACCAAAATTGCCCATACTGGGACAAATAAGAGCTACTGAACTGAACTGAAAATGAAACAAGTCAGGAAAAACAAACTACTACTCTGGCTACATTTTATAGGGTTCTAGGATATGGTGTCATTACTTGTATGCATGGTGCATCTAGTGCACTTAGCTGTTTAGACGCCGTTTCTCTATTTACTTTTAAAGCAAATTAATTAGGCTGCAAGAATCACTAGTAAATAATTTATTTATTGGACCCTGTTAAGAGCACAGCTCAGTGGTATGTTATGTCCAAAACTTTACTGTCCTCTAATTTCTTCTTTTGGTTCTCTAATGCTTTTAAAGACTCCCTAGCGTTTCTTTTAAATTTCAAGTATTAAAAGAACTGTTTTTTTATTTTCCCCTGTATTTTTGGAATGATCTTCAGAGCACATCTCAAATTTTGGAGTGTTTGAATCTCCTATAAAAACTTCTGTAACTGAAGAGTGTAAATGTTCTTTTTAGGCTGGATCTTTGCTTTTTTAGCTTCTGTTTTGTTGACTGACCTGATTTATTCCACGTGTTTTTATTTTATTGCTAAACTTTTAGCCTGTACTCCTAATTTGTGTTGTTTTTTTAAGAAAGCTACTCTCAAATAAGAGCCATAAATGTTAAGGGACCTCCTGGTTAAATGAGCTTTAATAAAATTAAAGGTTTCATCTGCACATCAGGCAAGCAGGTCAAATGATGTCAGCATCCATTATAGTCTCTTATTCACTGTCTGCGTCAATATAAAACAGTTTGTTGTAACATAATGATGAAAGTCCTTGGGCGTTTTTTTTTTTTTGGTTTTAAAAAAAGAACAAAACAAAGAAAAATGATGCACTTTGTACTGGAACTCGTCAAAGACTTTAGTTTTATACCACTGGGGCTTTGCTTCGAGATGCATATATGCTTGAGAAAGACAAAGATTTAGTTAGACAATATGTTGGTAAAAGAATCCACTTAGTGACAGGTGGCCTTAAATACTCTGAAGTAGATTATTGGGATTCTTGTAAAGGAGAAATAAAATGGAAAATTAGAGTGAAAAAAAGTATGATATTGTTCTTGACTTTAATTTAGCTGCATTCAATTGTAAATGATCTAAACTATGATTTACAGGTGGTTATTTTCTTTTCTGTATCATTTCTGCAGACGACGGGACGTACCAGCGAGATCCACCCCCTCCTCCTCTTTGCTCTTCCTCCAGTTCAAGTCGTCTTGTGGAGGAAAACAGAAAAAGTCTCATCCCAGAGGAGTTTGCCGGCCTTCTTCATGGGTCCTCTCCAGCCTGTGAGCCCCCAGATACGCCTTATCACCTTTACAGCCCCAAACACTTTAAATATTCCTCTTCAGAAGTTCAGAGCAGCGTGCTGCAGACCCCCGACTTCAGCGTTGTGATTGGCGGGGGAGCCTCACAGGGCTTATCCAGAACTGAAAAAGAATCGTCTCCTCAAAGGGCTGAAAAGCCACAGGTTGTTTATCGGACCGTCTTCCACACCAGGGTCAACCAGGACCAAGGTCAGCACAAGAACTGTGAGCAGGAGGATCTGCCTCACGGATGGTCAACGCGTAGCCATCCGTCCCCTCGTTCCTCGAGGCAAAACGGAAAAGTTCCAGAGTTTCAGGGGAACCAGGCAGGAGCTGAGGCCAAGGAAGGTTACGAGGAGAGAGCGTGCACCCTGGGGAGGATGAGGTCCGTCCCGCGCAGCGTGTTGGATTTGCAGCTGTCAAAGTCCCTTTCCAAGTCGGATTCAAACCTGGTGGCCGTGTCCCCCATACAGGTGAGAGGTTTTTTGTTTTGTTTTTTTTTTTTCACTTCAGTTGGCATCAGTTACAAAGAAATTAAGGTGTGCAAACCCGTCTTAAAAGGTCGGGTTGTTGAATACATCTCAGAAGTTCTAAATCTAATATTACATATTTTCTATGCAATGAAAACTAAAATTAATTTTTTAGAGGATAAGGAGTGCTAGTCAGGAGCAGGATGCAAAAAATAGAATATACAGGAATAAATGCAAAGAAAAAACTGTATGTTTCTTGGAAATTGGTGAGAGTTATTAAAGTGAGGCTTACAGTAACACTGAAGAATGGTTCCATTTGGAACCCTGCATCACTATTGTCTTCCAAATTCCTCGCGGGAGGAAGAAAAAGTGATTCTGAAGCATGTTTAATGATGCTTTTACTGTAAGGACATGTTTCAAAAGGAATCTCTAACACACAAATAAATCTGTGCATTTCTATAATCCCCAAAACACCAACGGTACAGCACAGTAGGAGCAACATTATACTATGGGATTACTTTTCTTTAAATTAAGCAGATTTTAGGTCTGTGTAGACAAAAAAATAAACTGCAAACCTGAGTCTGTTCTGACTTGAGTGTTTCCTAAAACCTCTGGCAAAAATTTTGAAATCACTGGCTTTGGCGGATGTTCATTCAGTTGTTTAATTATGTAGAAAAGAGCAAATCACAGACATGACACAAAACTAAAGTCATTTCAAATGGCAACTGTCTGGCTTTAAGAAACATGTAAAAAAAAATAAAAAAAAATGAGGTAGTCAGTAATGCTCACTTTTTTAGACCAAGCAAAGGGAAAAAAATATGGAAAGCAGGATTTTAATTTTATTCATCCAAGGTAATAAAGGAGTGAAGCAGAAAATCAAGATTTTTTTAATGGAAAATATTTCTAAGTGAAGATTTCGGTTGCTGATATATTCATAAAAAGGACAATATTATATTCATTTAAACAGTCAAATACATACAGATCTTTTTCTACTTTAAACACTTAATTAATGAAGTAAATTTTTTTTGTCTCTTGTTTTATTGGTGCTGCGACATTATGAATTTCCACCTCCTGGGATCACTAATTTTTTATTCTATTCTCATATATCAATAAATGTGACATCTATAGCAGGGTGTGAAAAATTTACAGACAAGTCTTTCCTTTAAGACTTGAAGATCAGCACAGTTTATGAAAGCCTTGTCTTGCGAGTGTCCCATTTAGATAGAAATAAGTTTTCAGTTGATGCAGATTCAACCATGTTGAATATTCATGTGTATAAATTACAGTTTCTATGGTGTGACTTCAGAAAGTTCAAGCCGGTCCAGGCAATGAGATAACTCGCCAATCTGGGCCACAGTGTTCCACGCCTTGTGCTGCGTTTGAGTTTTAATTCAATGTCAATAAATTATAAGCTGTGAAAAATGCAATTTGTTTGATTAAAATCAGTTTTATGAAACTCTGATTTCAATTTTTTTTTTTAGAATTTCAATTATTATTATTTTTTTTAGCATATCTGTGAATATTTTTTTTTTTTTGTTTCTTATAGGAGGAACACAGTTGGGGTTCTGGATCACGGGGCCAGGGACCCGGAACCCCCGGCTCCCGAGAGGGTGTGAGCCCTGAAAAAAGACTGGAGCGAACCCCCTCCTTCACAGCTGAGTGGGAGGAGGTAAGATGACGCAAATAGATTAAGGTCCAGATTATCTAATCAGTCGAGACATTAAAGAAGGAACAAAGACGCCGATCTCTGTCTGCTCTAGAACTGATTAAAGCAAATAAGCTTTTCAGAGCAAATGGTTTCTGCAGGAGTGAAGAGTGCACCCTCAGCACTGACCACCATCTAACTGCTTTCCTTTGAAACATGCTCCACTTGTACAGTGCAGAAGGAGAAAAGTGCTAATTGAACATGTTTCCCCTCTGATGTTCCTGGAGCTGCAGGGAAGAAGGGAATCTTTGAAAGTAGTTTCTATTGTGGAGGGTGGAGAGCAGAGGTCGAGGCTGCAGTGGGCTGGAGATCTTAACTCGTTTGTCTCAGCGGCTCAGTTTATTACAGGGTTCCTGACATGGAAGTTATTCTCTGACTTCCCACTGCAGTTAAATCTTTTTACATTACTTTCTTAAAAAAAAAAAAAAAAAAAAAAAAAAAAAAAAACAAATCCAATCAGATCTAATCAGACAACCTAAAAAGATTCTGATGATGTGAGTGAAAGCCTATTAGTGTATGGAAGCTTTGCCACATTTGCATATACATGTTAATTATCCAAAACAACCCCTGACTTGCTGATCAGATGAATTACCATCAGGTTTTTATTCTTTTTCGACATCTTACTATTTATGGTAACCTTTCCTGCCTTACGGCATGGAATTTAAAAGAAAAAGTTCAGGCGGCTTCTGGGTTAATATATGGGGAAATACAAAGCTGCCCTATTTGCAGCGCATAGAAAGAGCTACATTGTTGGAAAAAGACGAAGCACAAGGGGTGTCAGAAAAGCTCCTCATTAACGCAACAGGCATCAAGCAGATGTAGTTTCCTGCTTTTTGTACGTTATTACTGAAGTTGTAGTTATAATGTTGAGATTAAAAAAAGATTTCATGTTTCTTGGTGTGAAAAAAGATCAAACTGCTTATTTCACTTCCCTTCGACAGTTTTCTGTTTTCTGAAAAACAAAGAGACTGATTTAGCTGTAAACCATAATTAAAAAAAGTGAAAGGTCTGAATATTTGTATTTATTTCTACTCATGTAATTGGTGTAAATAAGAGCTTATTTAGATTCCTTTGTAAATAGTGCAAGTGACACTTTGTGTGCCTTATTGACAGATGAGCAGGTTGTGCAGTTCACTGGTTAGCAGCATGTCCACAGAGCTGCAGCCAGCAGTCGGCCTCCTTCTGGCTTCATCTCTGTTCAGCTGTCTGAAAGTTTTCTGCTCCTTTAGTTCACAGAGGAAATGGCTGACACTCAGCATCCTGGTTGGTGTAAAGATCATATTATGTGACGCACGAATCCAAAAATAGCCTTTAGCCTTATTCCTGGGAAATAACTTTCCCTCCTATTAATATGTCCTGTACACATCTCTTTTTCCATCTGTTTAGATTGACAAGATTATGAGCTCTATCGGCGCGGGGATCGGCAGCGGATTGGATGTCAAAGAGGTTACCTCAGGTAAACAACATCCCAGATGTATGAGTGTCAGGGGAGTTAATCTAAAGGATAAATCCTGTTAATAAAACTGCTTACATTAGCTGGTTTGTGTGCAAGGCTGGGTCATGCACACCACAAAGTAACTGTTAGAATCCTAAACCCTAATACCAATACAGGCCATTGAAACACATTTTTCTCAAAAATAGCTATTTAATTGAAAATATATGTAATACAATTACAAAGTTTAGCAAATGATCAGCTTAGAATTAAAGTGCTTTCTGGTTTTCAAGAATGAGTACAGTGCTTCTACTTATGCTAATTATCCGACCATATGATTTGGAACCAATCTGCTATAAAACAAACTATTTAGGAAGATTTAAATCCCATTTAATTGGAAAGCTTATAGACTGTGATTTTCAGTGCTGGTAAAAGATTAAAAGGTCTCATAATAATAACATTTAGAGCATGTTTTTACTGTTTGAGCAGGAAAATTCCTCTGAGATTTGGCGGACAGCCTGTCCCAATAACCTCCTCTTTCAGCCCTCTTCTTAATGAGCTGTTTTGGCTTTCCACGCTCTCGCCTTCCCGAAGGCTGCGCAGCCACACCTTGTAACCATGACAACCAGTCAGAGTTCGTAATGATGGCAGCTAGGATAGCAGAATAATACAGAAGACAAAGGCTGACCTTAAACGATGGGCGGCTCCTGTCCGCTCTGAGCAGCCAATAAGTGACAACAAATAACAGGAGCAGCTTGATGTTACAGTCGCTCACTGCCGTTCATTTATGATGTTAACAATAATAATAATTTTTTTTTATCAAATACGGACCAATCTCATTCTAATCATTTCTTCTACATACAGAGAAATCCTGTTTCTTAAGGGAACCGGAAACCCTAGACTGTAAACAATGTTTCGATAAACAAACCCAACAACTACACAGTAGGAAGTTAACCTGAGCTGCTACAGCCTCTAACTGAGCTGCTATTTGCAAAATTCATTTAATTTAAGCATACAATCAGAAATACTGCAGATATCATGTTAGGAAAAGACTGTTTCTTAAGCACGGAGAAGATTATTCATCTCATAAAAACCACACGCTTATCAAAACTGTCAAAGACACAAATGTTAACTGCAGTGCTAAAGTGTTTTCAGGCCAAGCAGTCCAACACAGTAAAGTCATGTTCAGCTCTTGCCCTTAGAGACAGTTGGTATCAATCCTCTCTTCAATGTAAGGTGTTCAGAGAAGCCTGCTTCTGAAGCATTCTTTGATTCATTTGTGAACCTCATACACAGGCTTCAGGACAAATATGACCATTAGACGAGGATTATAAAGTAAATTCTTCAAAATATGGGACCTTTAAATTCTGTAGAAATGCAGTTGGTTAAAATAAAAGAAATATGCAAATATTTTGAGGAAACCTCCCCATCTCATTAAAATAAAGGACCTGGGAGAGATGAAATTCTTTTTTTTTTTTTTGTCTAACAAATTAAAGAGTTAAAAGTCACTTAGTGGTATGAAAATAAGTTGAGTTAAATTAGCAAAATATGAGATGAACTAAACCTTTTCTTGATAAGAAAAGGTTTAGTTATACATTCCGTGAATCATTCATTCAGGGAATGTATGCCTAAACCTCTGGTTCAAGTACCTTGCTGAAGGGCACATCATGTGTGCCTTGAGAAGCTGTGCTTGAACTTGTAACTTTCTAATTGCCAGAAAGCTTGCCTCCCCATGAAAAACAAAAGTTATTCTCCATAGCTTAATGCTTTTTTTACAGTAATAAAAACATTACAAAGTACATCAAAATGTTTTAAATCTATGAGATTTAAGAAGAATTTCCAAAAGTAAATATGGTTTATTTTTATGATAAAAGCAGAAGTTTATGGGGGGATCGTTTTAAATTACATGCAAATTTGGAAGCTCTGACCTACTTAAAGATGGGACATTTAATGGACTCTATGCACAACTCCACTACTCCCTGAACTTTTGTTTCCTGTTATTACTGGATGGACTGATTAACCTGGCCTTGCCTACTGAGGTCAAACACACCTGGATTATTCAGTTCATCCAGTAGAAAAAGACAGGAAACAAAGGCGCTGCCTTAAAGTCAGGAAGTAATGGTGTAGTGCATAGAGCCTATTGGAAATGCTCTCCTGTTGTTAATTTCTGTCAATACTAAAGTCCAGCGATATTCAGATACTAATATTTAAAAAATAAGCGTTTTTTTTTAAAGAAAACGGTCTTTTGCCGTGTCCGTTTTAGTGTGACGTCACTTTGGGAGAATGTCTAGCTAACATGGCTGATATACAGACTGAATGAATAGCAAGAGCAACAGAATTTATTATGAATCTTCTTCCAGTGAGCGTATAGTCTTGTTAATAAACAGGTCCTGCAACTCCTGCCCCATATGCTCTCTTTTGCTCTTGAGAGCGATGCATTGCTACACATGTCTGTCTCATTGAAAAGAACAGCAAAAAAATGTACATCAAAACCAAAAAACTGTCTCTTAAGCTCCTGCCAGACGAGAGCCGATCCCCCTATGTGACGTCACTGGTTGCAACCGTGGTTGCTATGGCACCTTCTTGGATTCGGCTGAACGATATGATACTTTTTTTGTTGTCGTTTATGAATAATAACTATTCCGTTCTCGCTCTGAAAAAAAAAAATCTCCATTTCTCTAATCAACTAACTTTTCATCCCATCTTTAATATGAACAGAAATGCTTTATTATCAGACCCTCTGTCTGGGTGAAATCGTGTTCATTTAATCAACCAAAAAGGGCTGAAATGACTATAATAAAGCACAATCTATTTAGTTGATTGCTAACTCTTTTATTAAGACTCCAGTCATACAGGTTTATGACCCTGGCTGGGATCTCATCTCCAACCTTAGACACCAGTGATTTTCTTTTCTTAAATCTGTGTTTTTATGATGATGTAAAATGCACAATAGTCTTATGTCATAGAACATGTGAGGTTTCTTCTGTAAATGTATGACTTTCAAACATCTGAGGAGTTTTTACATGAATTATGATTAATTTGCACATTTTTTCTGCATGTTATCTCCATCTCCATGACCTCTTTCACTCTCTATACAAGTAATAAAACTTGCAAAATACTTTCAGCTATTCCATAAAGATTCATACTGTGTAATAAAATGTTGTGCTTTGCAATAGTTTTTTTCCTAAATGGCATTTTATTCCTTCTGGCAAACAGAGGATATTTTATTGCTGTCAAACAGGTGAAACAGCACAGCTGTCACTGTGCCTTTTAAATGGCAAAAGTGGGCAAGGAGAACTTCTGCATCATTATTTCTTCAAACCTCTGCAAGCCCACACCACCACGCAGAAGAGCAACTTTACTCTTCTTTGAAACTGTGATTTTTAGAAGAAAAAAAAAATTACCAGTTGTTTGTTAATTTAATTCAATTAAAAAAACGTTAAATTTAGCCTAAGATGGGAGATGAATCTGGGATCTTCTGTCATGTTCAAAACATGCACAATCCTCTGCGTGTCAAAGATATGTTTTATCCATCCCAGCAAATTTGAATACATTAGCCAGAAATGTATTAGTTTGAATTCCTAAGGAAGGAAAATGACAACAAACCCTTCTTACAGTGACCTGTCACTGATGGGCTACAGTTAGCAGCCCTACAAAGTCAATGTTTAGAAACTTAGAATAACACCCTATTGTTTTAAATTATAATAAATGTGATTGGAATTAATTTATAGGAAATTATAGTTTTATTTTGAGCTGCCTTGCAAAATCATTCATACATTCGAAGCATTTTTGCAATTCTGCTTTATTACACTAATATAAAAGAAAACATGATTTTTGTGCCTCTTTTTTTGTTTTTAAAACAAAAATCAAAAAGTCTGTGGATTAACCGTTTTTAATCTGATCCACTGCAGCCTTTAGTAGTCACCTTATAGGCCAAAGGTTGTCTCAGAGATTTGTTGGAGAACATTACAGGATCACAAAGATCAAGAAACCCAGCAGAGAGGTCAGGAATGATGGGATGAGTTAAAGCCTCTTCATTCATGAGAACAACCAAGTTTAAGTCCAGATATCACAACAATGGAGAAGATGTGGCAGGTATTATTAGTTAGTGTTCAGATGTTTTCCATCCAGTTTGGCTGAGTTAAACTTTTGCAAAGAAAAATGGTGGAGACGTCACCAAAACACTTATTGCTGTAAATGCAGTGACAATGACTTCTTCTATTTTTCACTCCATCATTTAATTTTTATTGATTTATTTTATCAAATCAATAATATACATTAAAATCAACACAAAATTGTTACAGGAAAATATGAGTTTTGCAAGGCACAAAATATATCAATAAAATTCTCTCCACCTGCAAACCTTGAATCCTCCTTCAGTCATCTGTTTGCTGCATGCAGCTTTTCTCTCCTATACCAACTTCCACCTCCTGATCCCTCCTTCTTTTTTATTTGGTATTTTCTTCATCTTCTCTTTCATCTATCACTGCAAAGTCTGTTCTAACCATGGTTACCATAGCCAGAAATCTGCTAGTTCAAAAGCAGCTCAACCTCACAACTAGAGCATGCATATCACATCAAATAGAGCAACATGCATATGCAGGGCTGCGTGGATTCACTGAGGAATGGTGTGTGTCTGTGTGTGTGTGGGTGGGAGGGATTCTGGCTCAAAGACAAAGACGCTGGAACTGTTGTGGTGGCTATTATCAACGGAGCGAGGTAGATATATGTATAGCAGCAGAGACAGCAGGGTGTCGATCGCCACTGAGGAAGGATAGAGACCAGAGGGAAGTTGGTGAGGAGGGGGAGGCAGAGCTGAGAAAGAGAGGGAGAGAAAGAGAGAGAGGAGGCTGCAGAAGCATACAGATGAGAGTGGGAGTACTTGATAAAGAGAAATCTACAACGCAGCAGCTCTCTCTCTGGCACGCGCATGCATATACACCAGCTCAGGGGAGCGACCAAGCGAGCGCAACAGCTGAACCGAGAGCGGATGCTGCTGCTGCTGCGCTTTGTAGGAGAGACAGATCTACACTCCATCTAATCTCTGGCAGGATTTACCCGGCAGGATAGGAGCGCTTTTCTGGATACAACTTTCAGTTTCAGCCTTTGCTTCTTATCCTCCCTCTGGCTGGATTCAGAGAACATCTGCACATCTGCACTTTACCTGTTTGGCTCCTTTGCATGCTGACCCCCTCTATCCCCATCATGCCCCTTGCCTAGATTTTTTTTTTCCCTCTCCCCCTTCACCCTTTCCCCTCCCTCTACCTACCCTCCCTTTATTTTTCCTTGCCAAAAGACTCCTCGGAAAGCATGGCGGGCTCCTTCGACAGCCACTTTGCCCGCCAGAACATGATGTGGCAGTGCCAGCTGTCTCAGCCGGACTGCCGCTGCTATCGCGTGGACGGCTACTCCCTACTGAAACGTTTGCCCCTGCACCCCCTCATAGGTCCCCGCTGCCCGCTGCAGTCCGTTGGACAGTGGTTGGACTCCATCGGTCTGGTCCAGTATGAGAACCACCTGCTGGCCAATGGATTTGACAACGTTCAGTTCATGGTGAGTGTTTCTGTTTTATGACATTTTTAGATAAACTGTTGAATGGAAGTCCAATTTCTGTAAATTATAGAGTTTCTTGCACCTGTTTGCATCATCTTGATCTTCAGAGCTGGTTAGATTTTCTTTTTCTGAATATCCTCTGTATTCATCAGTCTTTTCTTGCAATCATTGCTGCCTCTCCCTACTGATGCCATGTGAAGACCCTCCTACGCACAGAAACCCTTCAACACATCTTCACCACCAGCTCTAGCTGCACACACTACAGACACATGCTGCATTGATGTTTTGAAAGCACAAGTGGCTTCTGCAGAGATTTTGTCCTTCCAACCACCTGTAGCTTGTGAATTTGAAAACGATCCGCTCAGTTTTGTCCGGCGATCCCTTTCTGTGACGTAGGGAAGAGGTTCGTAGGAGGAAGGAGGTCATTTATCATTTTAAATGATGTGTATTATGAGGGAGGCTTTGCGAGGAGAACACAGAACAGTGAAGTTGAAAATGAGGAGAAAGGGGGAGGGCTGAGGAGATGCAATGAAGTTAAATTGCGAGAAACTGCAGCAGGGGCAGAAAGACAGAAAGCGCAGGGATGCTGACTGAATGAGTTTCCCCAGAGATCAGCGATGCTGAGATGGAACCAACTTTAAAATGTCAACAAGTTGTGACCGATTGAAAATAACTGCATACATTTTTTTTAATTCACATTTGAACTATTAGACTAAATGCAAAAACATTGTGCTATGTCTGATATGAGAAAAATGGTATCTGAATCTGTTAAGACATTTTTGTATGTTTGCTCTGGTTTTCCACTCTGTGTGACCCGCGTTTATTCCTTTATTTACTGTGGGAAACCCATGAAATGTTCTTTATCTATTTGAATTTATAATCAACAAGAAGTCGTTGCAAATATGTTTCAGATTTTGAGCTTGTTTTTATGTTTTCAAAGAACAGCTATAAACAAAACAAACATTAAAAACCGAGAACCTAACCTTTAATCTCTGCATTTGGACACAAGCAGCTTGTTTTGTTTAATTGTAGCCATTCTGCCACAAAATGTAAGAAAGCAATTATATTGAGAAAATAAGTGATATCACAACTCTTATGTGTTACTGTAAAAAAAGATTTTATTTTTTTAAAACAACAAAATTTTCTAGATTTGACATTTAAATTATCTTCAGTATCTTATACTTATAATACACAGTTAGCATGGTAAGCACTAAACATCAATCCCCAAATATATTAAGATTATTCCACATCTACTGTAGTATATGGGGAGCTCAGGGAATAACAAAGAACAACATATTTAACTGCCCTAAATTAACCTTCCTGTTAGCTGTTCAAAGTCTAGCTCTCTTTGTAAAGATACATCTTAAAACGTATGTTTCTCCTTCTGTATAACAGGACCACAGCTAATGTTTTAAGCGTCTCCAAGCAACAGAATTTACAAAAAATCCTGGATAGATGTCAATGTTTCAGAAAAAAACTGAGCGAAAGTCCGATTGCCCCTGATTTAAGCTTGTTTTGTGAGTATTTCAGATTACTATAAAAAAAAATCAATTCCACTACTTTTGCAGCAATGACTCAGGTGTCACTTTAGTTTAAGTTTTTGATACTTGCTTCAGCTAACATCTTGCATTGTTAAGCGTTCAGTTACTACAGTGGTTGTTATTCTATCACTCCGACCTTCACTAAGGGGCTGAAGCCCCCCTACCTCTGTAAATAATGACTTTAGTCCTCGATGAACAATTGATAATCCTCTAAGCATGAGACAATTTCCATTTTATTTGATTTATTCTATCTCAATTAATTTCGGTTATTATGAGTCCTTTGAGATATATTTATTCATAAACAAATACTGTTTGTGGCTACAAACAGCCAAACTGCTCTGAGTTTGACTTTATGAATTCTAATAAGAAGCTGCTAAAATGAGTAAATTAAATAAGCCTATTAAATATAATTCTATACATTTACCAAACAGGCTCCAATTATAAAATTTCACTCTAATTTAAGAACTCTATGTAGATCTGTATGCAGATTAATTAATATTCACACAAAGTTTTATCATTTTTTAATGTTTTCTTTTTGTGGCTGTATTTCATTTTATAAATCAATATTTTATTTTATAAGTCAATCGCACTCCCTCAAAGCAACTTATCAGCACAGCTGACTACAATGGATTTGGACATTTTCGTCGGTGACTGATTTGTTCCCTATTTTATATCATCTACCCGTAGTTATGTGGGTTGAGGAGCTTTGGGGATTTTCTAAGTTCCTGGTTTTGCTTGTTGAGTCTAGATATTCTAAATTTCTCCATTAATTCATAAATATATATTTATTACAATAGAAACTAAAAAGAGCTTAAACAAAAAAAATATCTACCAACATCAGTGACTTCTAATGCAAAGCGGCTCTTCGCTTTAAAGGTTATTCTGCCGGAGTCTCTCTTTGTTTGTGGAGGTTTTACATGTAACACTGATATATATGACTTGCTAAATAAACCTTTTGTGACAAATGAATCCACATTATATCTCTTATTTGCATTGCAGGTATATATCAGTCACTAGAAACCCTCCTTTAAGGAGAGCTTAAGGTTAGGTTCCCTTTGGTTGCTACACAGATGTGGGAAATCAAGTGAAATGCCAAGTTCAAACTGGAAAAGTCAACTCATTTAAAAGAACCAATTTTTTTGGTCCTGCATTTCAGGGACGGTTCAAGTTCATCTGCAGAACTGATTGCTTTTGCAAATGAACTTGACCTCAGTTTTCATTTGCCTCTGTGTGAAAAGGACACATGTGATGTAGGATTGCACATGCAAATAAAATGAGAACATTACCACTCTCTGCTGAAGGGGTTGTTAAAATAGGCGTGTCTGAAAGCTTTAACTAGCCAGTAGAGGACATGTAGACCGGATTGATGGTCCAATAAAAAAGAAGTGGAAGGATATTAAGAGCATTCCTCTGAAGGACACTGACAGAAACAGGTAAAGGCTGATGAGATTTAATATTAGAGTTGCCATTTTTATATTGACTGTTCCCTTCAGACAAATAAAAAAACTTTGATCAAACTGGTTTGATCATTTTGTAAATCTTAAGCAAACGTTTACATCAACGGCACTGATGGAGTTCGTATAAAAGATATATTCAGGTCCAGAAGCAAGAGGAAATAATCAGGTCTATTTTCATTGATATAAAAATTTCTTACTATAATCCATGGAATATCAATGAACTTTTAAGATATACGGAAGCATATTGCATTCACCAAAAAAAAAAACAAAAGAAAAAAACAGCTTATCTCGTTAAAAAAAAACTGCTTATCTCGTAATTACGAGATCTTTTCTCATAATTACGGGATCTTTTCTCTAACAATCCACTCATTGTTCATGTTTCATGTAGCGGCGATCAGCAATGACCGTCCTTCCAGATCACCTTAATATGACATATTATCTCATAATTATGACATCTTATCTCGTAATTATGAGATAAGATCTCATAATATTGAGATTGGGATCTCATAATTATGACATAAAGATGTCATAATTATGAGAAAAGATCTCGTAATTACAAGATAATATCTCGTAATTATGAGATACTGATTTCGTAATTATGAGGTAAGCTGTCAGAATTTTTTTCTTTGTTGAATGCAATACGCCTCCGTAAAGATACGCTGTAACAACAGGAAGCAGTTTGTGCAAAGAAACAATGAGTCAACATGGTTTAATGCCATATATGGACTACAAGGGTCATTTTTATTGCTCTGTCTCATGTAAGGTTTACCTTGAAAGCAAGATGCATTTTCGCAGATGCAAATGTTTCGGACCAATAAAATACATGACGTCTACTGTAATAGAGACAGAAGGCTGAAGCAAAGCAAACATGGCTGACCCTGTTTTAGTAAAAGAATCAGATTGGCGCCTTTGTGGATGGGAAAGATGTTTGCGCGTTCCTCCTGAACGTATTTGGTTTATCCGTTAAAGCCGCTAGTTGTGAAACAAATCAAGAATATAATGGGTCACGCCTGCTACTGCTGCTGTGATTGGGTAAAACCTTGACATCAGAGGCCAGTGCAACTTAGTTTACCCAATCACCTTGAATCATCTTACCAGATGGATACCGTGTAAAATTTTAATTTGAACTACAAGGATTAATCTGGCTTATGAAAGGTTAAAGTCTCAGAAACGAGATAATGTATGCAATTTGCACAAGATTTTGATATTTTGGCTTCTGGGGACAACAAAATCCAAACATTTGCAGCTGTAGATTTAACAAAAAAAACAAAAAAATAAAAAAAAAACCCGGTAAGGATAGTCAAATATTTTTAACATATCAATAACATGTTCTAAAACTGCAAACATTAAAGTTGAAGATTTAACACAATTTCAGGATATGGAAAACTATTAGGATAAAAATGTTCTTTGCAGAAACAAAGGGGTGATTATAATTTACAAGATGGTGCTAAACATAAAAGACGTGTGTAAAATTGTAAAACTTTGCAGATTTTTAACAAAATATATATTTTGCAACTGAATTAGGTTATGTCAAATATTTTCATTTGAAATAGACAAGACAATAGACAATTAAAGGTGTTTTTGTGTCCAGGTGTTATTAATATTAACACCTTTTCTCACATAATCAAACGTCTTTTAAAGAAAACTAAACCAAAAATCATTTTGCAGGATTTTCTCATTGTAAAAGATTAGCGATACAAAAAGATTAGATGTGCTGTTAATTTGTCAAACAGAAATGTTGTCCAAAGAAAAGTGGAATAAATTATTGTCAAAGAACAATTAGAGAGGAGAGACAGCTCTAACATCTGTCAAAAAGAAATATATTGTGTTTAAAAATAAACTTATGTAAGAAGCGCTTGCTTGGAAGCAGAAATCTGAAGACAGACAAGATGAAATGACAGCAGAGACAGAAGAGTGAAAAACAGTAAGGTACATGATAGTCTGAGCTTAAATTGTGGCTCCATTTGGTATGGGAATGATGATGATGGCGATAAGGATTTTC